GAGAGAGAGAGAGAGAGGAGAGAGAGAGAGAGATGGAGAGAGTGGGAAATGCGAACACAGGCAGCGACTCAGAGAGAGCAGTTAAGGGGGTGTTCATTTCGAGATTTTGTGCAATAGCACTTACATAAACACAGAAGCGCTTTCATAAACACAACGGCGCTCACAGAAACGCAGCAGCACTTACAAAATTAGCAGTGTACATGGAAGTGCATTGGGAGAAAGCCCAACTAGTGACGCTGACCAGAGTGTCTACAGGGATGGGAGCCCGGCACTGGAATCCCTGCAGTCAGATCAGGGAGAGAGGAAGGATGACAATTGAGTTGACTCAAATGTACATGGCAGTGCATGCATTGGGAGAAAGCCCGACTAGTGACGTTCACTAGAGTGACGTTGATCAGAGTGTCTACTGGAATGGGAGCTCGGCACCGAAAGCCCTGCAGCCCAAACAAGGAGACAAGGAATACTGGGTTGGTTGGAGCAAGGAGAGATGGACGCTTCGGTTGCAACCAAAATTGACGGAGGACAAGATTGGTTGGAACATTGGTAGTCTACAAACGGAGAGATGACATGATACAGGCAAGATGGGAAGGAGGGATGAGTTTGGGAGTCCTGCTGCGGGAATAGAGGTGATTTTTGAGGAGCCTCGAAAATCACCTCAAGGAAGGGGGGATGAGTTGGGAAGCCGTGCGGATAGAACCAGGAGGGTTGGAACAAGGCAGGCAGAATGGGTGGTGGGAAGAATAAGGGGAACGTGAGGGAAAGTGAGGGGAAGCGAGGGGCAATGAGGGGCAATGACACAATGAGGGGCAAAGCAGGGCAGGTGGCCAGAACAGGGGCAGTATCAAAGGCAATGCAATTGAACGATGTCATGCGGTAACCTGATCTGATAACCTTTGTGAAATCTTTCAGGAGGCTGACCTTGTTTTGGCTGAAGAAGTCTGCTTGGGTGAGTCCGAAGGTGTTGAGGATGAGCGGGCATGTGAGGCCGTATGGTGACAGGAAGGTGGGCACTCGAATTTCAATTGGTCGCACTGCATGCATGGTAAATGTGAGGTGGGCGTAGGCAGGTCATTGCAAGCAACAAGCTCGCAGTGACATTCGTGTTGACTGAAATAAAAGAAAAAGCAATGCAAGGTCCCTAGAAGAATGGCGTGTCAAACTGTCATAAGTGAGCCTTAGACATTTCAAAAGTCTCTGCTAGCAGATGAGCCATGATGACAAGTGCTATCATGCGACAAGATGAAACGACGAGCGTGCATGTGAGAGAGATTGGGGTGTGTAGGTAGTTACAAAGTATGTGAGAGTGAGGCGCGCAGCAACACCAACATCGTCATCAAAGCAGCCGACAAGAACATTGGATTCACCGTGATTAAGAGACAGATTTGCGTCGCAATGTGCATGGAGCATCTGAACGACGAAATAGCCCATCGTGACGAACAGGATTATAGGCTGCTTCGTCGTTCAGATGCACCATGCAAATTGTGACGCAGATCTGTCTGTTAATCACGGTGATTCCAATGTTCGTGTCGGTCAGCACGATGACGATGCTGCTGTTGAGCAATACATGTGAGCATGTGAGAATGGAGTGTTCAGGTAATAACCGTGCATGAAGTGAAAGTAGGCCGTTCATTTAGTAAGCAGGTAAGAAAGCAAGAGGAGCATGTGTTACGCACAGAGGGAACAGCGGGCGGTGCCTTTTGCGGGAAAGATCAAGGGGAAGAAGGGCGAGGTGCAGAGGCAGGAGTAGCTGCCGTCTACGTCATCAATGCACACCCCCGGGGCACATGGATTGCGGGGGAACTGGCGACACGTGAAGGAATCTGGTTAAAGGGAGGAGGGGAAGGGGGGAAAGGGAGTGGTGGGAGCAAGGTGAAAGAGGGTGGGAGCGATTGAGCAGCAACGGAGGAACGGGAGAGGAGGAGAAAGAGGAAATGAGAAGGAAAGGAAAAGAAGGAGGACGAGGAAAGGAGGAGAAAGGGGAAATGAGGAGGAAAAGGAGGAAAGAATGGGTAAGGGAGAGGGAAGGCTGGGGAAGGTTAAAGGACGGGAAAGGAGGAGAAGGGGAGTTTCAGAACGGTAATAGTGCATTGGAAATCCCCTTGAGAAAATTTAAGAGGAAAAAAAAAGTAGGTTACTTCCAAAGGAAGTCTCAAAACAGGAGCATATCACATTTGGTTTCTCTCAAGAGATTCGATTAAAAAATGAATGCATGCGCACACCCCACACACCATGTCATTCAACAAACTAAAAGACCACCTACCACACTCCACCTTTCACCTACTGCACTCCATGACTCACCAATCGCACTTCACCTCTCACCTACCGCACTCCACCTCACACCTACCGCACTCCACCTCTTGCCGACCGCAATCCATGTCTCACCAGGGAAGCAGGAGGGCAGGCCGGAGAGGAAAGAAGGTTGGAAGGAGGGGAGATTGAAGGGGCACTTGCAGGAGGGCAGGAGGACAGACGGGTCCCACGGGGCAGGTGCCTTGGTGCATGCACCCATGCCACAGGGCAGCACTGGAGAACCTTTGCAGGGATCGGTGTCTGTTGGGGGGGAGGGGGAGGGATGGGAATGAGGAAAGTGGGGGAAGGTGTGAGGCAGGAGAAGAGAGATGTCCAGGTATGAGGTAGCAGGTGCTTTGAAGAGCATGCACTGCATGGTGCAAAAGGGGAGCACTGGAGAACCCTTGCAGGGTGACTTTTGAGTCGACTCAAAAGTCACTGCACCGGTGCAAAAGGGGAGAACTGGAGAACCCTTGCAGGGGTCGGTGGTGTCTGTTGGGGGGGAGGATGGATGGGGACAAGGAGGGGGAGGGAAGGTGTTGGGGGGAGGAGAGATGAGTCCCCCAAAGGCAGGTGGTTTAAGGGGGACGGCGGAATACTTGACAACAAGATGGAAGTGCCTTACTTCCTCCCTGGCTTTTGAGTCGACTCAGAGGTTGCATCCCTGGGATTTAGTAGACTCTCTCCCTCAAACTTTTCCTTCCTTTCTGCAACACCTTTACCCCTTTCCCATCTCTCCCCTTCCCTCCCTTATCCCCTTCCCTTTCTCCCCACCTTCCCTTTCCTCCCCTTCCCACTGCCTTCTCACCCCCTCCCCCCCTCTATCCCTACCTGTGAATCGGAAGGTCCAGGAGGAGAGGGGGACGGGGGCAGGGTTCTTGGCTTGCTGTGCCATCCCCCTCCCTCTCTTTCACCGTTCTCTCCACCCTACTCCCTTCTTACCTGTGAATCGGAAGGTCCAGGAGGAGAGGGCGACGGGGGCAGGGCATGGCACGTGGCTTGCTAGCTACCCCTTCTCTCTTTACTTTACCTGTGAATCGCCCCATTCCCCTCCCCCTCACCTGTGAATCGGAAGGCCCAGGAGGAGAGGGCGACGGGGGAAGGCAGGCGGCCGGGGTCAGGAATAAGAGCAGCGCTTGTGAACCCAACGAACACCTGCCCAAAGGACGGCGACGATAGGTCCGTTGCACTGCTGCCGCTACCACTGCTGCTGCCACTGCTGCTGCAGTTGCCCCCGGTGCCATTGCTGCTTCCGGTGGTGTCAGTAACCCCAGTGAGAGCAGCACACAAGTCAATGGTGACCTTCATTCGGGCTTTAAGAAAAGCAGGGCGGTACAATCTCATCACCATCTCCTTGCTGCTCCCGTTATAGTCAACCCTCATCTGCCACACCTCTTCAGACTCTGTCACATCTAATACCTTCTTTGCGAAAACCGACGTCATGTTGGAATCGGTGTTCACGCCGATATGTACATCACTTATATCGCCTGTTTCCGGGTTTGCTACAGTGTCCCACTCCACAGCTACACTCCGCGCGCCGTCCGGCCAGCTTCCATTAGCGAGTCGCGAGGACGGGTCCCGGCCGTACCCCATATAAGCCCTGCCTAGGCCCAGGGTCGCATGTGTGCTTATAACGAACGCGAGTCCTTGAGACGCGGATACGTTCATGGAAAAGCCGTATGTGAATGTGAAAGATCGAGCCCTGCAGGTTGGGGGTTCGGTTGCTGTGGGTTGGGGAGGTGAGGGGGAGGAAGGAGAGGAGTGGGGGGAGCTTTTGCGTGCACGAGGAAAGGGAGGAGGAGGGAAGGGAGGCGAGGAGGAGGAGTAGAGGAGGGGGAGACGGCGAGGCAAGTAAAGGGCTCCAGGGGCAGGATCTTCTGATTGGCCGGTGGAGGATGATGCCACGTCAGCAGCAGCGATGGAGAGGTCGGCGGCGAAGAAGCGCTTCCTGGTGCTGCCACGTGTCAGCAGGGGAGTGGCTGGCGTGATGTAGGGGAAGGAGAACGAGTTGGCCGCCCAAAACGGAAGCGGATCCTCCGCTGCTGAAATGAAAGAGGGGGAGGGGGGAGGGAAGGGGAGGAGACGGGGGCAGAGGTGAAGGAGAGGGTAGGTTGAAACGTGAAAGTGTGAGGACATCAAACCAATTCATGCTAAGTGATGGGTTGAACAAACATTACAAGGACACCAGTCAGGTGCCATGTGTCTGATCCCTCCATTTGCCTGCCTGCATGCCTGCCTCCCCAGAGCATTGCAAGCTTAGAACAGGCCTGGGATGACACTTGAACTCAACTCAATATCCCTGCAGTCAAACTCACCATTCCACGAGGTGACTTTTGAGTCCACTCAGAACAGGGTGACTTTTGAGTCGACTCAGAACGGGGTAACTTTTGAGTCGGCTCAGAACTCAGCTCACCACCCCAGGAGTCAAACTTCCGTCCCAACAAATCATGTGGGTATTAAATGTCAGAAGACCAGCACTGGAAATACCCGATTGATTCTAGGGAAATGTTACAGGGTCGCTGGCCTGGGGCTATGTGCATGGTCACTCGCTATAAACAAGTCATTTTATCCAAGTGGTCTACTGGTTGAGATCATGACATGGTATCAGAGCGAAGGTTTCGAGTTCGAATTTCCATGTGTGCACATGTTTGCGCTGACAGTGTGTCGTATCCTAGTGCATCCCTATAACGGGAAGGTGTCAGAAGATCAACACTGGAGATCCCCGATTGATCCTAAGGAAGGGTTATAGGTTCGCTGGACTAGGGGGGTGTAGCCTGTAGGCACGTTTATTCCAGTGGTCTACTGGCTGGGATTCTGACACTAAACACTATTGATGCTGATACAGGTCACAATATACGCATCCTTGAAAGTCACTTACCCTAGGTCGACCACTTGCAAGTGCTGGAAAACACGAAATGATCCTATAGAACAACAAGAACAAGGATGAGGGCACTCAAACTCACCCTCTCCAACTTCAAACTTCCACCCCAGCACCTCGTGCTGTTGAGCCTGCTCCGCCCCCTTGCCCGTGGCCGCTGTGAATCCCACAAACAGTGGCGGGGGGGGGCGCTGATGCCTGCGGTTCGTTCCCCCCCAGCCACTCGCAGGTGTCAAGGAATGTGCTCAGCACAGCCGAGCGCGGGAGAGGAGAGGCGAACGAGGAGGAGAGGGGGGACGGAGAGGAGGAGGAGGAGGTGCGAGACGGTCGACGGAAGCCAGGGAAGCGAGGGGAGGAGCGAGAGGGGGTGGGCGAACGGGAGGAGGAGGAGGGGGCGGGGGAGAGCCAGACCGTGAGTTGGGAGGAGGAGGCGTTGTAGTGGATGGTGGCGAGGAGGGTTTGGCCGGCGTTGAGGGCGGGAATGCCGACGGGGTGCACGGGGGCAGAGGCGAGAGAGAGAGCATGCTGCCGTGCAGGTTCACCCCCACGTGGTGGTCGGGCCGGTCGAAGAATCCAGGAGAAGAGGACGTTTCGAATTCCACTGCCAGGCTCCTGTGCTGCTGTGGATAGCGGGTGTGGGGGGGGCAATTTGATTGGCAGCAGATAGGTAGACAGCAGAACGGCAGAGTAGGAGAGCGAGAGATACAAGATAAACAAAGTAAGTCAGGCAGAGACTCGATAAAGAAGACCGCTGACATGAGATGGAAAGCGAGAGATAGAAGGCAGGAAATGGAAAGCGAGAGATGGAAGGCGGGAGATGGAAGGCGGGAGTTGGAAGGCGGGAGATGGATGGCGGGAGACGGCAGACGAGAGATGACACGTACCTGAGATGACATGTCACTGCTGGAGCTGGAATCATTCTCAGCAACAGTAGTGCTCCCCGGGAAAAGCAGCAGGCGGCCGTAACCCATTGAGGGCCCCGGCAGGCCGAGCGTAGGCGATGCCATCATCACAAACGCCAAGCCCTCGCCGCCCAGCCCGGCGGCGTTGGGGGAGGAGATGCGGAAGGTGAAGGAGGTGGAGAACGAGAAGGGGCGGCAGGGAGAGGTGGGAGTGGCAGGGGCGAGCAGGGTGAATGGAGCGGGATGCAAAGCGAGAGCAACAGAGTTCAAATCGGAGAGCGAGGTGAGGGCGAGGGAGGCGCGGTTGCGGCAAGCTGAGCCGGCTGTGAGGAGCAGATGGGCGCTGGAGAGTGGCCAGTGGGAGAAGGACTTGAGGGTGGAGGGGTCGGCTGCAGGTGAGTGGGAGCGGGTGGGGGAGGGGGTAGAGGGGTGTGGGTAGGGGTGAATGGGGAGGGAGAGTGGGAGCAGAAGGTAAAAGGGGGATCGATCATGCACATGAGTAAGTGGTTAGAACATGGACGTTGAGTTGGGCATGTGTGCTGCGAATGCTTTCAATGCGCAGCGCAACGACCTACGGCACACCAGTTACCCTGTCAACCTTCTTTGCCTCACTGTCTCACTGCGTGGTGGGCACGACAGATGCAAGGTCGATAGCCGTGCTCCCCGCTTACAACGCCACTCCCTCTCTCTCACCAACCACCTGTCCGCACCTACCTCCCCCTCTCACCTACCTCCCCCTCTCACCTACCTCCCCCTGTGACTCCATCCCTCCTTGCGTGCACCCCCCACTCTGTCCCTCTCTCACTCACTGCGAGTGGGCATGACAGACGCAAGGTCGATAGCCGTGCTCCCCGCGTCCAACGCCACTCCCTCTCCCTTCACTCCCACTTTCGCTCCCGCTCCTGCTCCCCCTCCTGCACTCGCAGCAACAGTGAACGCGGCTGTTCCCGGTCTTGCTCCCACACCCCCCGCTGCCGCTGCTGCTGCTGCTGCCGCAGTGTGGGATACAGTCTCCGCACCAGCTGCTGCTACCCCACCAACAACTTGCACTGCGGCCACTGCGGCTGCTGCTGCTGCTGCTGCCCCTGCTGCTGCTGCCCCTGCCCCTGCTGCCCCTGCTGCTGCTGCTCTCGTGCGACCAAAGCTCCGCAAATGCCGTGGCCCCCAGGTCTTCCTGAGTAAGGAGAAGGGTAGTTTGGGAAACCGGATTAGCCTTTCCAGGGCGGATGCAGCGCGGGCAAGGTGGGGATGTGACGCTGATCGGATTAGGAGGCCCAAGGAGGAAATGGTAAAGCCGCTGCCACCCCTGCTGTCAATGGCGCCGCTGCCGCTGCTGCTGCTGCTGGTTGTGCTGGTGGCGCTGATGCTACTGCTGTCACTGCTGCTACTGGCAACAACGCTGCTAGTGGTGCTGGCAAAACCGCTGGAAGTGGCGATGGTGGCAGTGCTGCCGCTACTGTTACTGCTGTCTTGCACGCCTCGAATCACCAAGTGCAGCGTCACTCCCCCCAGAGGCACTATCAACGCGGAAGGGGAAGAGGCGGAGGAAGAGGAAGAGGAGGTGGAGGAAGAGGAGGAAGAAGGAAAGGAATCTGGGGGGTCAGAGAGGGCGAAGAGGAGGGGTCCCACTTGGAACCAAGGCAAGGCGCCGGACAAACTCGCGCTGCTCCCCCCACACGGCACGCCCACCCGCCACTCCGCCCATACCTGCTCCCCCGTTCCACCTTCCCCCGCCCCTCCCCCTGCCGCGGCGGCGACGGAAGCGTTCAGCGGAACAGCCTGCAGCAGCACCTTCAACAGCCGCGCCGCCTCCCCTTCCGCAACCCCTTCCCCCTCCGCGCACAGGCTGGCGCGCGCAAAGAACGAGAGGGACAGCTGGCGCGGGGACTGCTGCTGCGCCACGCTGCTCGTCGGCGCCGCGGGTTTGAGTTCGCACAGCGCTTGTGCCACACCTGGCCCGCCAAACGCGCTACTATTAGTACTATTGCTACCACCAGAAGTGTCGTTGCTACTAGGCGACGCGGGAAAATCGGAAGTAAGCCGTAAGAAGCGGGACCCGTCGGGTGCCAGTAGAGTGTCCGTCACTCCCGTGACCCCGTTCGCTATTGACACGTCAGCAAGCGACGCCGCCGCCCCTCCTGCTGTCGCGACTGCGGCTTCCGCCAGTGTCGCAACCGCTGGCGCGATCAATGCTCCGCGGTTTCCGCCGCGAGATGCGGTGGCTAAGAGCTCGTCGCTTAGGAGTGATTCCCCGGGTTCCAATGCGCGCCACGGGAATAAGTACGGCCATAGATCGCACGACGCGTTCAGCTTCTTGCGACGCCATCCTATGTCGAGACAGCTTGTATCGAAGCTCGGGTTCGAGAGGAGGTTTGACGATTCACCTGTGACGAGACGATAATAGAAAAGGTGTCGAATGGGATGGAATTGGAGAATTATAGGGCTATTGAGCGGATAGCAACGAAACCTTCGAAGAAGAAGCTTCTGCCAGATTTTAGGCGCGTTGGAGGCAAAATCTACGGCATGACCGAAATTATGGGAGATCATCAACTCCTCTTCAATCACAGTAGCCATGGGCTTGGAGTCGCCGCTCAGGTGGTGATGTTACCTCAGCCGCTTCTGCTTGTCAACCAGTAGTTTGATGCCTTGGCAGTGATCGCAGGAGAAGATTGCAGCTGTATATGCAGTTCAGGTGGTGATGCTAATGCAGCCGTTTCCTTCCTCTCGCCATGCCTCGACTACTCAGCAATCCGAAGCTGCTTCCGAGCCTGCTCCTGCCCAGCAAGCTATTAGTGCTTGCCAAAGCCCCAACGGAGCTCCCACTAGACATCCCTCCTAACCCCCCTCCTCCCAATCCCCCTCCTCCCAACCCCCCTCCTCCCAACCCCCCTCCTCCTAATCCTCCTCCTCCCAACCCCCCACCTCCACCCAATCCCCCACCTCCCAATCCCCCTCCTCCCAAACCCCCTCCTCCTGCCCCCCCCCCCCCTGTGGAAGGAGGGGCGATGCAGGTCTGGCAGAAGGAGGTGCAGACGACGCGGCAAAAGCCATTGGGGTAAGCCCGTGCGGCCAGCGTCTTGAGCTGGGCAGAGCAGGGGGTGCTGTCAGCGGGGCATGTGAGCGTGCTATCGACCAGTCTGCAAGATTCAGGGAGGGGCAGATGAGGCGGCAAAAGACATTGGGGTAAGCCCGTGCAGCCAGCGTTTTAAGTTGGGCAGAGCAGGGGGTGCTGTCAGCAGGGCATGTGAGCGTGCTGTCGACCAGTCTGCAAGAGCCCGGATCCCGAGGGGGTGACAGAGGGAAAGGTGAGACGAGTTTTGAGTCGACTTAAAAAATGCTGTCATCGTGCGTGCGAGCCTGCTGTCGAGCAATTTGCAAGAGGCCGGATCTAGAGGGGGTGACGGAGGGCAGGGTGCACGATTGGTGTAAGGAAAGAGGACATAGGACTTGTTGGGTATCTTGCAATTTTTCAAAAAATGATCACGAGCCCGTAAAGCACATGAGTTACGTCACCAGAAAAGGATCCTTTTCTTTGTAGGTTTATTTCGAGAATTCTCAATTTGAACCGCGAAGCAAAAAGAGGCCTCGAAGCACTGTCATGCGGGCACAAAATTGAAGCCAAGGCCAAAGCTTGAAATAGGCATAGGGAGAATACTTACAGGTACAGGCGAACCCTGGCACTCGCAAAGTTTGGAATTCATAAAGGTGCTTCGGATCGTGCACTCACATTTCTGCAGTGAAGTCGCCAAGATAGGCCGGAAGGTCCCCTTCAAAGAGGTTGTCTGACAAAGAGCTGCAGTAAGCAGGATCGCACGGGGAGTCGGAAGGAGAGTGAAACATCATCTTTTGTTTGAGGCACCTCAAAAGTCGCCAAGATAGGCTGGAAGGTCCCCTTTACAGATAGCTCTTTGTCATCTGACAAAGAGCTGCAGTACACGAGGAGTTGGAAGAGGCGCTTTGAGATGTCACAAAACCAAATCGCTGCGTTACACACGGTTGCACGAGGAGTTGAAGGGGGTTGAAACATCAGTGGAAAACGGCAGGGACAATGCGAGCATCACTTGAGGAAGCTGGGCTCCAAAAGAAGCTGTACGGATCCACTGTGAGTTGACTTTTGAGTCGACTCAAAAGTCACCTCGAAAGCATCACTTGAGGAAGCTGGGCTCCGAAAGAAGCTGTACGAATCTACTGTGAGTTGACTTTTGAGTCGACTCAAAAGTCACCTCGAAAGCATCACTTGAGGAAGCTGGGCTCCGAAAGAAGCTGTACGAATCTACTGTGAGTTGACTTTTGAGTCGACTCAAAAGTCACCTCGAAAGCATCGCTTGAGGAAGCTGGGCTCCGAAAGAAGCTGTACGAATCTACTGTGAGTTGACTTTTGAGTCGACTCAAAAGTCACCTCGAAAGCATCACTTGAGGAAGCTGGGCTCCGAAAGAAGCTGTACGAATCTACTGTGAGTTGACTTTTGAGTCGACTCAAAAGTCACCTCGAAAGCATCACTTGAGGAAGCTGGGCTCCGAAAGAAGCTGTACGAATCTACTGTGAGTTGACTTTTGAGTCGACTCAAAAGTCACCTCGAAAGCATCACTTGAGGAAGCTGGGCTCCGAAAGAAGCTGTACGAATCTACTGTGAGTTGACTTTTGAGTCGACTCAAAAGTCACCTCGAAAGCATCGCTTGAGGAAGCTGGGCTCCGAAAGAAGCTGTACGGATCCACTGTGAGTAACAGAGTGAGGTACGCTTAATAATACAGCTACTTGACTCGTGCCAGGACTGTGTGCGTGCGTGCGTGCGTGCGTGCGTGCGTGCGTGTGTGTGTGTGTGTGTGTGTGTGGGTGTGAAGGCCAGGCCAGTTTGAAACTAATGAAGGCTGGGCCAGTTAGACCACTCCCCTCCTTACAGTGCGGACATGGACCAGTTGAAAGCAGAGGGAGTTTTGAGGCGCCTTAAACATCGCGTTGAGGCACTTGGGGTAAAATCAGCCCAGTTTGACCCCTCCCCTCCTTACAGTGCCGACATGGACTAGTTGATTGAAAGCAGAGGGATTTTTGAGGTGCCTCAAGAATCGTGGTGAGGCACTTGGGGTAAAGTCAGGCCAGTTTGAATCCTCATTACAGAGCTGACATGGACCAGTTGAAAGCAGAGGGAGTTTTGAGGCGGCCTCAAACATCGTGTTGAGGCACTTAGCATAGAATCAGGCCAGTTTGACCGCTCCTTACAGTGCAGACATGGACCAGTTGAAAGCAGAGGGAGGCAGCGGTCCTGAGAGGTTGTTGCGCCGCAGGTCACTGCAAGGAGGGAGCAGCAAGAAGCGCAAGAGCGAGAGAAAGGAGAGCAAGAGGAAGAAGAGGTTGATCATTATACGGCTTTTGAAGTCGACTCAGAAGTCACCTGGATCATTGAAAGGAAGCAGAAGCAAAAGAGCAAGCAGAGGTTGATCTGTAAGGCGGCTCAAAGCTTGATCTGTAAGGCGGCTCAAAGACAGCAATGCTGGACTGCCCAGATCCCACGCCACGATTCCCATGCTCCTATTCCCATGCCCCCCTTCGCATGCGCTAATTCCTATGCTCCTATTCCCATGCCCCCCTTCGCATGCGCTGATTCCCATGCCCCGCTCACATGCCCCGCTCACATGCCCCGCTCACATGCCCCGCTCACATGCCCCGCTCACATGCCCCGCTCACATGCCCCGCTCACATGCCCCGCTCACATGGCATAGAGGTTCGTTATCAGTGATACGGATGCAGGAAAAGACCCTGTCAGGTTGACTTCTGAGACGTCTCAAAATATGGATGCCGGCTGACATGCCCTGCTTGTCGAAACAAGCTAGGCTGAAGTTAGGAACAGAAAGAGGGGTTTGCACTAGCAACAATGGTGGTACAAATAGCTAACCCTAGAAGGGTTGTACTCGCTATAGAGCACCCCACTGCAGGCTAGAGCATAATATTCTGACACACCCCCATAGTCAAAGTGGGGTGTAATCAGCAGAGCAAGCAAAGTAGTACAAGCTCAGGGTGGATCACGATGTCACCACACATTCTGAGCACAAGCAAGAAGCAATAGTTTAAGGTTCACAATTATGAGCAAAGCTAGAGGCAGTCACAGAGGGCAAGTGAGGAGGAGGAGGGCTGGTGAGAGGAGAGTAGATAGGAGGCGACGACTGAAGATGCAGACACACGGGCAACAGACGGCTCTGGTGCGACAACGTGGCTACCGGGAATGAGTGCCCCGGAGTACAGGAGTAACAGGCTCCGCGGCTAATATGCGCGGCAGGAGCAACGGACCCACAGGCGACGGCGCAACCGGCTCTCTGAGCTACCGGGAATGAGTGCCCCGGAGTACAGGCGCTGCGTACGACACGACGGCAACCTCCGCTCAACCTCCCCCAACAGTCCCACACCCCTCGACACACACCCCCTGCTGCGCCCCTAGCTCCACTCCCCCTTCACCCCCCTAGGACCACTCCTTCGGCTCCCCACACAACCACCCCCCTGAGCGGCAGCTGCAGCAGCGGGAGACGGAGGAGGAGGAGAAGGAGGGGACGGGGCACACAACCGGCACCCCCACACCCGCCACCCCCACACTCCACATCCCCAAACCCTAAAACGGGTGGGATAGGGGCAGGAGCGCGGGGGACGGACGAGGCGCGCGCAGGCTGCCCGCGCCGCGCGCTGGCCTGGCGCAGCCCGTACGGGCCGCGCGCGGGCCTGGCGCTGCCCGTACGGGCCGCGCGCGGGCTGTACGGGCCGCGCGCGGGCCTGGCGCAGCCCGTACGGGCCGCGCGCGGGTCCCAGGGGCGCTTCGACGGGCGACGGGGGCGTTTTGGCGGGCGACGGGGGGCGCTCCGACGGGCGACGGGGGCGCTTCGACGGGCGACGGGGGGAGGGCGCTTCGACGGGCGACGGGGGGCACTTCGACGGTGGGAAACCGCCGCGCGCCTCGGGGCGCACGGCGGGCAGAAAACCGCCGGGCACCCCGAGCGCACGGCGGGATGAAAAACACCGAAACCCTAAAAACGCCGCGCCTTGCGAGCGCGCAGTAGGCAGAAAACGTCGCGCGCCCGAGGCGCGCGATAAGCAGGACAGCAGCGGAAGCATTAGGTGGCGGGCCCACCCACAGGATCGACCCAGGAGGGTCGACCTGCTCTGATAGCATGTCGAAACAAGCTAGGCAGAAGTTAGGAACAGAAAGAGGGGTTTGCACTAGCAACAATGGTGGTACAAATAGCTAACCCTAGAAGGGTTGTACTCGCTATAGAGCACCCCACTGCAGGCTAGAGCATAATATTCTGACACTGCTCACATGCCCCACTTACAGGGCATTGAGTTTCGTTAACAGTGATAATGACGCAGGAAGAGAGCCTGTCAGGTTGTTTTTTGCAAGGTAGCTGAATGTACAAGGGACAGAGGCAGGATAGATGAGGGACAGAGGAGGGACAAAAGAGGAGGGACACAGGAGGTATAAAAGAGGAGGGGCAGGGGACGGGGCAAAGGAGGAGAAACAGACGAGTGACACAAGCAAAGAGGAAGATTCTTTGTTTTGAGACATGTAGAGACTACAGCAAGCAATGGTGGTGATTGGGGGAGGAGACATGCATGGATGGCAGGTGACTTTTGAGGCGCCTCAAGGGTTGTTTTGAGACACGTAAAGATTACAGCAAGCAACGATGGTGATTGGGAGGAGACATGCATGCATGCTCCAGGAAGGTGGACAGTAGGATGGTCTCGGCTTACATGGTCACTAGAAGGAGGAAGCTTACAGGGTATTCAGTTTTGAGGCGCTTTAGAAGTAATCTCGGCTTACATGGTCACTAGAAGGAGGAAGCTTACAGGGTATCCAGGTCAGTTAGAAGGCCGATGGACTCTGGTATGCTTCCGGTGATGCTGTTGTTGCTCAGATCGCTGCATTTGTGCAGAATTGCAATGGGAATGGAACTCCAGATATGTCATCTCTTAGATGGCACATTCCGAGCCACGATGAAGGCAAACAGAAGATGCATTTTTGGCAAGAAACCCATACCTATAGCACTCGGCCTTTTGGGATTCAAAGACAGCTCAAA